GCTGACCACTCTCATAAGTTGGATGGTACATTAATGAAGCCAAGAACATAAGTTCAGACAAATCCCTATCAATCATGAATGTTTTAGGAAGGAATATCATTTGTAGTGTACAGGATCTATTTTAAAAGTTTTTGCTTATGACACTGAGAAATATTACTCAAAGAACATTTGCAATTTATGGTAGAACAACATACCATCCACTGCTTAAATATTCTAAATAAATAAATATTTCACTTCTTGTTTCATATATTGGCCTAAAAACTGTGCTTCTGTTTGAGGGAGGTGGTTACAGATAAAGGTTATGAATATATTGCACATTAAAATGCACATAGGCACACACACGTAGCTCTCAGACTTCTAAAACCCATTTTTGCACCTTAGGTTAAAAACTGTTGTCTCAGAACCAGTAGTTGTGAATTTGCACAATCTTCCAATAGGATATTACAAGCTCTTTTATTTCTTTCTTCTTTCTTTCTTCTTTTCCTTTGTCTCCGTCTATTTCTTTTATTTTTCCCTCTTATTTTGCCTCCATTTCTTGCTTATTCGGGCACAATATTCATCTTACCCTTGCAGGTGAATCAACCCACCTACTTCATCTTAATGTCAGTGTATAAATAAGGAAAACAAATGAATCAACTGCAGTGTAAAGCATACTCTCAATCTGAAATCTACATATGTATTGCTTGTAGTCAACCAAAGCATGATATCTTTTTCATTTTTTTCTTTCTGTTTTAAGAATAAAAGCATTTTCACAAGTGACATAAAGTGGTGCAGGCAAGAAATAACGTAGATGTATAGGAAAATACATCACTTCATAACAAAAGTCTCTGTCTTATATGCCAGGAAACGTAGATAATGGGCCTCAATTAATTCAGGATGTAACTGACTACATTTAGTGCTATAAAACTGAACAATCACACTTCACAGTTGGGAAACTGAAAAACAGAAGCCAGACCTTTATGCAGATGATGAATAATCATAACACCAATATCAGTAACACTTAGGCGATTTAAGACAAATACAAATGGCACGAAAGTTCTTCGTTGTGGTGCACAGGGCGTGCAGTAGCATGTAGTTCCAAGCATGACAGACATCTGTGAGTGCAACTGTTCAATCATTCAAACCAAACTGAGACAAAGACATTGAGTAAATCCTCATTGTACAGAGAGGTGTTGGCACCAGCCGTGATGGGGTTCAAAAGCATCAATGAGGCATTGCTGTTTCCCTAGATCATGTGCCTGTGCTGGTGTCTAGTGTTTGCTGGGCAGCAAATTCTGGCTCAGTGGTTCCTGAAGATTCTCATCAATCAAAAACATTATAAGGCTGGGCACGGTGGCTCACACCTGTAATCCTAGCACTCTGGGAGGCAAAGGTGGGAGGATTGCTTGAGCTCAAAGTTCTAGACCAGCCGGAGCAAGAGTGATACCATGTCTCTACTATAAATAGAAAGAAATTAGCCAAACAACTAAAAATAGAAAAAAATTAGCTGGGCATGGTGGCATGTGCCTGTAGTCCCAGCTACTCAAGAGGCTGAGGCAGGAGGATCGATTGAGCCCAGGAGTTTGAGGTTGTTGTAAGCTAGGATGACGCCACAGCACTCTAGCCTGGGCAACACAGTGAGACTCTGTCTCAAAAACAACAACAACAACAAAACCATTATATAAACCTTGGTAATACTAGGGAAGAAGACAGGCAAGCCCCAGTAGAGCAATACGCTCCAAGTGGGATTATATTACAAACTATTAATACTATAAATTGAACCATCACCATACCAGTGATGGTTCTTTACTTCAATGTAGTTCAACCCACAAGAAACATACAAGGAAGATTTGCTTAGCCCTGTTACATGTCAGGAAATGCAGGCTCCTAAGGGACTAACTCAGTCAAGACTTCACAGCTAGTAGTATTAAAGTTGAATTCAAATCCAGTTTTTTAGGACCACAAACGTTATGCTCTTAACCACAAAGCTATTGAGAAATAAATAATGGTTGATATCAAGTACAATTCTGTTGCCTTATATGCCTAGAATCCTGAGTGTGGACTGGCAGGACATCGTGAAACCTGTGGGGGCCACAGATATTATCCAGGTCTTCTTGCAGGCTCTTCCTTTATACACCACACACGGTACACTCACAGAAATAGCTGAGAGAGCCTTGTAAGAGTGTATTGTGAGGAACACAGCTGTGCCACAAGGGCCTAACCTTTCCCCTGTCTCTGCCAAGGAACACAGCCTTAATCAAAAATCATAAGGGAAAATCTGCACGACACTGGGTTAGGCAAAGAGTTTTTGGACATAGCAAAAATATCACCCACAAAAGAAAAGAAATAATAAATTTGAACTTTTTTAAAATTACAAACTTTTTGTACATGATTCTATTAAAAGAATGAAGTGACAAGCCACAGGCTAGGAATATATATATGCATATTACATTTCTGAGAAAAAACTTACGTCCAGAATATACAAAAACTCTCAAAATTCAATAAGAACATCATGAACAATCTAACAAAATGGGCAGAATATCTGAACAAAAATCACTTCAGTAAATCTGATGTATCAGTAAGTACGTCTCTGCCACCACCATCCCCTGCGTACCTCCAAATCTTTCCCTCCCATTCTTTCTTCAATCTATTCTAATCAACCCTTGGATTCTCCAAAGATTCCCCACCACAATCACTTTATCGAACATTTCCTTTCAAGATCACCAACAAACCCAATGTTGTGAAGTCTAGTGGTCAACTCTCAGTCTTCATATAGCTCTATAGCAGCACTGTGACATAGTTGATCCCACTTATCTTTGAATACACTTCCTTCTTTCCAATACAATTCCGGTGGCTTCCAGGCCACCAGAGAAATTTCTTTTCCCTCCTATTCCATGGACTACTCTTTCTCATTCGCCTTTGCTGCCTCTTTCTCTTCTTCCCAATTTTTAAGAGCTGTGGCCTCAGGCTCTGTCTTTTTTTTTTTTTTTCTCTTTTCTATGGACACTGACTTCAGGGGTGACTTCTTATAGCCTTGTGCTTTTAAGAATATTGATGTGCCCAAGAGCCCTAATGGTTTTAACCTTCATCCAAAATTTCTGTCCTGAACTTCAGGTTGTCTACTTGATATGTCTACTTGGATGTTTAATACACATGACAAACTTAAGTCCCACACTGAATTCTTGTTCTTCCCCTTTAAATCTGCTTCCCCTACAGAGTTTCTCATCTCAGTTGGGTGGTGATTTTATCCTTTTATTTACTCAGGGCACAAACTTAGAGTCACTCTTAATTCTTTACTTTTTCTCCTTATCCAGATTTATTCTGTCAGGAATTTCTGCTAGTTCAATCTTCAAAATTTATTCAGGATTGGACAATTCCTTACCATCTTCACTGTTTCTACCTTGTTCTAAAACCATCATAAATTCTAATCTAGACTGTTGCTGTACTCTTTTAATTGGCCTCATTGATGTTCTTCTTGCCTCAAAATTGCCCCCAGAGCCATCTTTTCTAACCTAAGATAATTCATGGTATCTTGAGGCAAATAATACAATCTCCCTGAACAGTATATCAATCATATGAAAAAAATCAATTTAATGATGCTTTTATATTGGGTTGATCTAAGGGATCAATGAGATGACAGATAAAAATAACTATAACACTTAGCACATAGTATGCACTTAATTATAGTAGCATGTGCATGAAAGTAATTTTTATGTCATTTCTGACATCTGTTGTCTCCATGAATTAGAAGCTACTAATTATTTTCCAAGTTTTGGAGACAACTGAAAGTTTGTCCCCGCCAAATTTACATGTCGAAATCCTAACCTCACACTAAGATGATGGCTTTAGGAGATCAGACCTTAGGGAGGGTATGCCATCAATCACGATTGGGATTAGTGTCTACTGTTTGAAGGAACCCTAGACCCATGGACACCATGACCGGCTTCTAAGCTGATTGGATAGGCTGTAGAATCGCCAAGGGGCCGCCTAGGGCCAGGCATGCCTCCTGCACTGGCTTCCTTTCCAGTCGCGGTGTAGTGTGAATGCAGGATCGTGGGCTGCCGTGCACATTTGAAAATTTACTTGAAAAGTGATCCACGGTTTACACATCATACCTGCGTCTAACGCCTAAGGAATTACCCTTTGCCCCCCGCATTTGCTCCCACATAACATAGCTGGGCATTCGTACATTCATCTTCCGCATACACAAGACCACCACCCACTGCTTTACAGAACAGCGACGCGCGAGTGCGGCGGCCTCGCTAATCCAGCCATCCTGCAGGAGCGCCCGCTCCCGAGCGCACTGGCTGGCGGGTTTGAAGGACGCTCCTGGCGCCGCACGCGGCTCCGCCCCGCCGCCGCCGCCAATCAACGCGCTCGCGCCGCGATTGTGCACCCGAGCCCGAGCCGCGCTGGGGCCGCGAGCGCACCGAGGACGGTTCTAGAACGTTTGCTGCGCTCGCCGCGGACGCCTGACTAGCAGAGGTGGCAACGGGGCGCTTTAGCTGACGTTCTTTCTCTACACATTTCACGTACTATTTGAGGGTTTGAACCTCGATTTCGTGAACCTAGAACCTACAGGCGAGGCCAAAACCACGAAACTCCTACCTGCCTGGGGATCCAGGCAGCCGCTGGGGCCTCGTCCTCTTGCCAGGACAGTGAAGCGCCCCCGCCTGCTCCTGCTTCTGAGGGTACGCAGACAAGTCGCCAGGTACGCGGAGAAGGCGCCAGGTACGCGGACAAGTCTCCAGGTTCGCGGACAAGTCGCCAGGTACGCGGACAAGTCGCCAGGTACGCGGAGAAGGCGCCAGGTACGCGGACCAGTCTCCAGGTACGCGGAGAAGGCGCCAGGTACGCGGACAAGTCTCCAGGTTCGCGGACAAGTCGCCAGGTACACGGAGAAGGCGCCAGGTACGCGGACAAGTCTCCAGGTACGCGGAGAAGGCGCCAGGTACGCGGCAAGTTGTGTACGCGTTGAGAGGCGCCAGTGTTACGCAGAGATAGCGTCGGTATGTGGACAAGTCGCCAGGTACGCGGAGAAGGCGCCAGGTACGCGGACAAGTTGCCAGGTACGGGGGGCAAGTCTCCGGGTACAAGGACAAGTCCCTAGGTTCGCGGAGGAGTCGCCAGGTACAGTGACAAGTCTCCAGGTAAACGGACAAGTCGCCAGGTTCGCCGACAAGTCGCCAGGTACTCGGACAAGGCTCCGGTGCGCCTCCGCGCGGCCTGTCCACACCAGCGTGGCTGTGAGCACTGTCCCGAGCTGCCAGGAGCGCCCCAGCGCCGGGGAATTCCCAGATCAGCCGCCCAGGAACTGCCAATGGACCGCTGCCCTCCCGGAGCCGGCACCAGCACGTCCCAGCAGACGGTGGCGGCTCACGCAGCTCCCGACTCCAGGTGTCCCATATGCTTGTTTAGATTTGATAACGTGTCTTACGTCAACAGCTGCTTACACAGGTACTGCTTTCGCTGCATCCGGGAGTGGTCCAAAATCACAGCGGAGTGTCCGCTGTGTAAGCAGCCCTTTGACTCTATCTTCCACTCCGTGAGGGCAGAGGACGACTTCAAGGAGTACGTCCTCAGGGCTTCGTGTGACGGTCCCGCTGTTCCAGGACGTCGCTGCCGTCCAGCTGTGACCAGGGAACTGAATGCTCCCGCACCCGGTGGTCCCGCGAACGGAACGACGACAGCTCCACCAGACACTGGGGTTCTGTTTGAAATGTCAGGCAGCACAGCAGCAGGTGGACAAGTGGCGATTCCTGAGTTACTGAGTCAGTTTGCAGTAGCCAGGCCAACGACTGCCCAGGAAAGACCTTCGCCGACAGTTCAGGAACAGGATATGATTAACTTTAGACGAGCTCTCTATCGGGCTGGTGCTCGAGTTAGAAGCGTTGGAGGTGGTGGCCGCTACAGGGACATTTCAGCTGGATTTTTCCGCAGAAATCCGGCTTCCCTGCGCAGATTAGTGCCCTGGCTAAGACGGGAGCTGAGAGTTCTTTTAGGAGCTCGTGAATCTTTAGTGGATATGGTCCAGCACGTCATCATGACTAACGTTACTCGCCACAATTTGGAGAGCCAGGCCTTCGTGTCTGATTTAAGACCATTTTTACTTAATCTCACTGAGCATTTTGTACATGAGTTTATCAGTTTTGCTCGATCTCCTTTTCGAATGGTAGCGTTTGACCAACACGCTAATTATGGTCACCCTGCGCCTTCCAATGCAGAGCGCAGCAGGTCTGAGTCTTCAGTCATTACAATATCTTCAGATGAGTCTGAGACCCAAGAGCGAGATACTGACGCAGCCAGAGTCAGTGAGGCACCATGGGGTGATGAAACACCGGGACCATCTTGCACAAGCCCAGAACAGGTGCATATTTCTATGTCTTCCCTTGTAAATGTTTCTGATAGTTCAGATGAAGAACTGGTTACAGGGAGAGCCACGTCTCAGATGCAAGGAGTACAAACCGCTGAGGACTTAAACAATGGCAGTGATTCTTCTTCAGATGACTGTGTCATTGTTGGGTTTGCTAAACCACTAGCTGAGAGAATCCCAGAAATAATTGAACTGTCTTCCGATTCTGAGGAGGTAAGTACTCAGGAGGAAATGGAGACAGCAGGGACACAGGAACAAGACCAGCCTTCTGGTTCTGGTGATAGTGATCTTCGTAGACGTTCATCTCAGCTCTCTCTCCTTGCAACTGATGAGCCAGTAAATGAAGGTCATCCTGATTCATCAAAGGAGGAAGAGGAACCATCTACATCCTCATCCACTAGAGTCTTGAGCTCATCTTTGAGAGGAGACAGAGTATGTTCTCCAAACAGCCATAGATATGGGAAAAGGGCAAGATCAAGAAGTTCAGGTTCAAGTTCCCAGAATGGAAATGAGTATGATAACAATCCTAGAAAGCATCCTGGGAAGAAAAGAATGAAAAGCAAAAGATCAGGAAATAGGGAAAGTAGCCCTAGAGGAAGAAGAGACAAAAAGAGATCAAAAACTAGAGAGAGCACTTGGTCTAGCAGCCAAACTCTGTCTCTAGGTAGTGAAAGCACAGGCAGATCACGATCTCATAGTACTGATCATGCTAAAGGAAGGTCTCGGAGCGGAAGTGGAGATCGTTATCATTTAAGAAATGATTATGGAAGCAGATACACATGGGACAGGGATGACTACGAATCATCTTACAGGAGAAGGGCTCTCTCCAGAGCTCATTACTCCACCCAATCTTTAATGCCAGAATCTGGAATTCATTCCTTTCTTGAAAGAAAAATTTCCAGGGAAAAAACTAATCCCAGCCAAAGACAATATTACTATGATGAAAGGCACAGATCAGGGAGCCTGTCTAGTAACAGGTCAATGACCTCATCTACAAGGCCCTGGCAGGTGAGCAATGAAACACCTGGAAGGAAACGAAAGTACAAAGCACGGCATTTGGAAGGTACTGACGAAGTGGCTCATGCATCTCATGAATATTCTTCTGCTGTAAAGAACAGTCGTTACCAAAAATCTCACTCAGAATTGGATGACAACTACAAACACGAGAGTGACAGCTTTTCGGACAACCTATCATCGGACGCAGAGACAGAACGCAAGGGGAGAAAAAGGGCCCGGAGCCCCAGTGTAGAGATCGTTTATGAAGGGAAAGCTACTGACACAACCGTACATCACAAAAAGAGAAAGAAGAAACACCATGGAGACAGTACTTCGCAGTCCCCTGTTGTCATTATCATCAACAGTGATAGTGACGAGATTTCTGAAGTAAAAGAAGATGCAGGATATCACAATAATGGGCCTCAAGACCCTCTAGGAGATGAGTTCTAGGCTCCTTCCTTGGAACCATTGGAAACTGAAGATGCAGTTACAAGAGAAGGTGAATTTGGTGTCCTGGACAAGGAGTGTGATGTTACTGCACTTACTAACATCTTTGAATAATGCCAGCAAAACTGTACCTAATAGTCCACCCCCAGCACCTTCAGTGGAACTGACTCTTGATGTAAGAAAGAAAGCACACGTGCCTCTGATTTGGAGACCAGCCCGGTAACGTTGCATCTGTCTGAACTCACTCATCAAGGCAACTGCCGTCTCCACGGACATCGTTAATGTCAGTGTCTCTTAGCAGAGACCAATATGTCTTAAAACTGCCAAAGCAACTCATTAAGAATTCTGGCGGTATAAAAAGGGTAAAAAGGAATGATGTCATCTAGAACAGTCTATTTGAAGATGACTTTTGGTGAAAACTCTTTTTCCCCTTAGAATATTTTAACTGATTTTTTGGTGTGTTAATTTGTTAAATTCATTATTTGTTCAAAAAGTATTTATGTCCCACCCTCAGAGATATGTACTTTTAAATGAAGAAAATAATATTGCTAGCAGTTTATTTAAAACTTACGGTCCTTTTTAAATAAAAATAAATAAATGTTAGAAGTTATTTCATATTGAATTTTGTTCTTTGAGAGTTGTTATGGAAATGTTTTATAAACTAGGAGAATCCCTTTGGACAGTCTTTATTTTATTTTTCTACTAGAAAATGTGTATGATTCAACACCATTTCTTCAGGTTAAACACAGGCATTTTAATCTGCACAGTTTGTCTTGACTTCTGCCAAAAGGAAAATTTACTACTTCCTTTATATACTTGTTAATCTGGACTGTTGGTAAAACAAATGTGTATTCAACAAAAGAAAAACAGCAACACTTTAAAACAAAAATCAGCAAAAACATACAAAAAAAGAATTGCCAAGGGAAACTATTTTCTATCTCAAGAATAGGAAAATTAAGAGAAAGGTCAAACCGAACTTAACAGGGAACAGAATTATGGGATCATCGTGGCTCCTCTGCCCTGCTGCTTTCAGTGTAGTCAGCCTGCTCGTGGAACACTGACAGTTCCCCTAGGACTAGCTCCTACAGTCAGCCACGACCCTCTGTCACAATATGCATGACTCTTTCTTCACCTCCATCTCCTTCTCCACACCATGCCCCTCACTTACTTTTGTGACTTGTGTAATTCCTCTTCTCCAACACTTCTGATTTTCAGTATGACATGTTGTCTTGTATCCAGCAAACTCACAGCTCTGAGTATAAGAAGGTTCTTCCTACCCTCAGCTCTGCCTGATGCCAGTCTAAACCCAGTCCTACTTGCCATCAGAGTCCCCTCTGAGTTCTTAGAACTGAATACCAGAAAGACAGTGATGACAATTTGATTAGTGCTCTTCCCCAGAAGAAGAGTGCCATCTTATTTTATACGCATAACTATAATAATAACAGCAGCTAATACTTCTTTAACATTTATTATGTTTCAGGAACTGTTTTTAGTGTTTTACATGTATGAACTCATTTAATGCCTTATAAGCACTATGTGAACATGGAAGATTGAGGTCCAGAGGGGTTAAGTAACTGATCTAAGGTGATGTACATAGTATGTGATGGTTCTGGAATTAAAACCTGAATAATCTCCAGCTGAAAATGCTCCAGCATTTGTGCTCTTAACGACTATGCTTTGCCATTCACAGCCTCATAGAAATAAGAGAGGTATATAGGAAAATACACCAATTCATAACAAAAGTCTTTGTCTTATATGCCAGGAAACATAGATAATGGGACTCAATTAATTCAGGATAGAACTGACTACATTTGGAGCGTAGAACTGAACAATCACATTTCACAGTTGGGAAACTGAAAAACAGAAGACAGACCTTTACAAATTTGATGAATAATCATAACACCAATATCAGTAACACTTAGGCAATTTAAGACAAATTCAAATGGCAGGAAAGTTCTTCATCATGGTGCACAGGAGTATGCGGTAGCATGTAGTTCCAAGCATGACAGACATCTGTGGGTGTAACTTTTCAATCATTCGAACCAAACTGAGACAAAGACAGTGTGTAAATCCACATTGTACAGAGAGGCATTGGCACCAGCCGTGATGCGGTTCAAAAGCAACGCATCAATGAGGCATTGCTGTTTCCCTAGATCATGTGCCTGTGCTGGTGTCTAGTGTTTGCTGGGCAGCAAATTCTGGCTCAGTGGTTCTTGAAGATTCTTATCAATCAAAAACATTATAAGGCCGGGCGTGGTGGCTCACGCCTGTAATCCTAGCACTTTGGGAGGCCGAGGCGGGCGGATTGCTCAAGGTCAGGAGTTCGAAACCAGCCTGAGCGAGACCCCGTCTCTACCAAAAATAGAAATAAATTAATTGACCAACTAAAAATATATATACAAAAAATTAGCCGGACATGGTGGCGCATGCCTGTAGTCCCACCTACTCGGGAGGCTGAGGCAGTAGGATCGCTGAGCCCCAGAGATTGAGGTTGCTGTGAGCCAGGCTGACGCCACGGCACTCACTCTAGCCTGGCAACAAAGTGAGACTCTGTCTCAAAAACAAAAAAAAAAAACCATTATTATAAAAACCTGGGTAATACTAGGGAAGAAGACAGGCAAGCCCCGGTAGAGCAATACTCTGCAAGTGGGATTATATTACAAACTATTAATACTATAAATTGAACCATCACCATACCAGTGATGGTTCTTTACTTCAATGTAGTTCAACCCACAAGAAACATACAAGGAAGATTTGCTTAGCCCTGTTACATGTCAGGAAATGCAGGCTCCTAAGGGACTAACTCAGTCAAGACTTCACAGCTAGTTAATATTAAAGTTGGATTCAAATCCATTTTTAGGACTACAAACGTTATGCTCTTAACCACAAAGCTATTGAGAAATAAATAATGGTTGATATCAAGTACAATTCTGTTGCCTTATATGCCTAGAATCCTGAGTGTGGACTGGCAGGACATCGTGAAACCTGTGGGAGCCACAGATATTATCCAGGTCTTCTTGCAGGCTCTTCCTTTATACACCCCACATGGTACACTCACAGAAATAGCTGAGAGAGCCTTGTAAGAGTGTATTGTGAGGAACACAGCTGTGCCACAAGGGCCTAACCTTTCCCCTGTCTCTGCCAAGGAACACAGCCTTAATAAAAATCATAAGGGAAAATCTGCATGACACTGGGTTAGGCAAAGAGTTTTTGGACATAGCAAAAATATCACCCACAAAAGAAAAGAAATAATAAATTTGAACTTTTTTAAAATTATAAACTTTTTCTACATGAAAGATTCTATTAAAAGAATGAAGTGACAAGATACAGGCTAGGAATATATATATGCATTTTACATTTCTGAGAAAAAACTTATGTCCAGAATATACAAAAACTCTCAAAATTCAATAAGAACATCATGAACAATCTAACAAAATGGGCAGACTATCTGAACAAAAATCACTTCAGTAAAGCTGATTACTAGATGACAATTAAGCATACAAAAAGATGCATTATTAATAATTAAGGAAGTACAAATTAATACCACAAGGTGATACCACTACACACCTACTAGAATGCCATGAAAACAAAAATGAAAACAAAAAACTTGGCAATATCTAGCGCTGACAAAAAGGTGGAGCAACTGGAACTTTCATAAGTTGCTTGTGGGAATTACAAATGCTTCAGCCACTTTAGAAATAGAAGTTTGGCGGTTCCTTATGAAATTAAATATGTACCTATCTCCCACACAAAAAAGCTGTACACAAATACAGGAACTTTATTCATACACACCAAAAATTGGAAGGAAAAACACAGATATCCTTCAACTACCTAATAAAAAACTGGAATATCCATACAATGCAATATTATTCAACCACAATAAAACAAGCTATTAACTCACACCACAGCATGTGTCAATCATAAATACATCTTCCTAAGTGAAAGAAGTCAGACTGAGAAGGCCACATAATGCATGACTTCATTTCTATGACACCCCAGAAAAGGCAAAAGTATAGGGACAAAAAATGGATCAATGGTTTCTGGCTTTAGGGATTTGGTGGAGGGTTTGTCTACACAAGGGAATTAGGGATAACTGTGGTGGTTGATGCATGACAATATCATTTATCAAAACCTATAGAACTGTAAACCACAGGGGAGAAACATTCTGCTTTTCATTTTTTTAATACATTTTATTATGTATATTTGAGTTTTACAACACGCTATTATGGGATACGTATATATTTGTTACTTTACATCCTTTTACCTACATCTTCCCATTTCCTCTGGCCTCCCTTACCCTTGGTAAGCCACTGTCTTATTCTCTATCTTTGTATATTTGACCTTTAACAAAAAGAAAAAAAAATGATTCCACATATAAGGGAGATCATGCAATACTTTTCTTTCTGTCTCTGGCTTATTTTCACAAGTGACACAAAGAGGTGCAGGCAAGCTTGCTAGAAAGGAAGTGGTATTATTTCCTTACTTATAATACTCAAAACTTCACAGTATTAGAAAGCCTTTCATATCAGACAATTCCAGAAGGTTTAATCATTATAGAGCCCTCTCTTCTGGTGGCCTGGAGGCATCCTACAGAGTGAACACGAGGATCTGCAGTGAAAGAACCCAAGTCCCATGGATATAACAGTCTTATTAAATCACCAAAATACATTTATCACAGATCCTGGCAACAATACAATAGTGTAGAGAAGACTACTCAACAGCTTTGGGAAAATATTGTACCCATTGTTTAAATGTCTGGCTCTGAGAGGTGGCCAATGGTAGCAATGTCACCTGTGTTTAACTTGGATGCTTGTATAGTTAGTCTTTTAGTGTTGTTACTCTTTTTTAAAGGACATGTCTTTTCATCACTAATTTCTTATATAGGCTTTTATTTATAGATACAAATGATCTTAAAGCCTGCATTAAATATAACTTCTTTGATTCAAGAAAGCTATTTGAACTTCACATAAAGACATTAACATTTAAAAAGGGAGATTTGGAATGCAGTTATCTAGAAATCAAGCTAGATTCTATATACACTCTAAGTTTTAAAACAATACAATCACTAAGTAGACAATGAAAAGTGAATAACCTTTATGAGCTCTTACTATAAGCCAAGTAATCCACGCAAAGTATCCAACATTTGATCCTCACAATAACACTATTACATAGGTGCCATTATTATCCCCATTTTATGGTTGAGAATATTAAACTCAGAGGGGTTAGGCAATTTATCCAAAGTCACAAAGCTAGTAAGTGGCAGAGGTTGGATCTGAAACAAGTCTGTCTTATTAATTATTAATTACAAGTCTTCTTAATTACAAGTCTCTTATTAATTACTCAACCAGTGCTGTCCCATAGAAATATAATGCAAACCACCTATATAATTTAAAATATTCTAGTAGCCACAATAAAAGTGTGAAAAGAAACTGAGGAAATTAATTTTAATAATACATTTTACCTATCCCAATAAATCGAAAATGTCACTTCAGTACATAATCACTATAAAATTATTAATATGATATCTTACTTTTTTCATATTAAGTCTCTGATATCTGGTGTGCATTTTACACTATAGCACA